AGGAATCATAAATTGTTTCATTACAAATCTCTGTCTTATGTAGAAAGTCCTGTGCTTTCTGCATAGAGCACCTAACAGTCTTCACAGTCAGACATATTTTCCTTTTTAAATACAGTGAACCTGAAAGGAACCTCTTTCCCTCAGAGATCAGGGAGTCATCAAGGTATTCAATCTTTCAAGGCCTTGAAAATTAGAATAGAACTTGGCTGAACCCTTCCTCATTTGCAACCTTCTGTCTAAAGTGTGGAACAAGAACTGGATGTGCTGTTCCACTATTATGTTCTTGTTAATACAATAACAGCACTTTTCGATACTTGCACTGTATTTTTTCAGTTTTGCACTCAAGGATTCTTGTTTTTCACGATTTTACAACCAATCCGGTGATGAAAGAACAATGGGACTGATGTCAGAAGAATACAGAGTGGGAAGAAAGGCTGACAGCTTTAGTTCACACTGTGAGATAGGCACTCTGCTGCTTTGCAGATTTCTCAAACATTTTGGGAGACATCACTGCAAAACAAAGCCCTCCCTCCTCTTTCTATCTATGCTATTTCATCTTTGATATGTAACATTATTTAGCATAAAACCCATGTTGTTCAATGAAATTCAACTGACTAAGAAGTTGTTCTGCTTAGTTAAAATTTAGTTGAAGCTGATTTTCAGCTGATTAATTGCTGAAAAGACAAATAGAATTGACTTTTGCACTGATTTTCACAGTTCTGCTTGAAAATCCACAGCTATTTCCTTCTTTCCTAATCACAGTGGGTGTTGTGCTTCTGGACAGGACCAGCAAATATTCAGGACCAGCAAATATTCTGCAGAAAAAACACTTATAAAAGCTATTCAACAGAGATAATATAATAGCTCTGACTTACCAAACGTGGTCCTTGAAGGAAGAGTATGCTCATTTACACAGATACAGTTTTGTAAAATAAGACTGCACGGCAGGAAATCATAAATAATTGTAGAGATTATAAAGATATATATGCATTACAAAGTCAGTGACACTGGCAAGTGAAGTTACAACTCAAATTACAACTCTGAGCCATAAAACCTCTATATTCAAAATCTCTTTTGTTTTCACCTTTAGAAGAAACTTGTTATTTGGTGAAGCATGCAGCTGGTTTTGGATGCAACTTCTCTGCTGCTAAAATTTGGAGCCATTATTTTAATCCCACTTGACATTCTATTCTTTTCATTTTTTTCATAAGACCCCTCTAAGAAAAAGGCAACATAGCTCAATGTTGCAACATTTTTCCATTATGCCTAACCTGACTTTCTGAATGTTCAATCTACCATTCTTTGGTTTGTAAAGCATTGCAGTTTTACTGTCAATTGCCTTTCTCCTGAGCTATATATGAGGATTGAATTCCTTCCCAGGCTATTTCTGATGACAGAAGGAAACGAAAGCTCTCAGAGATCCAATTTGAGCCAAAGGTGAACAACCACCATGGTGTATGACATGATCATCTTACATACCAAAAGGTTTAGCATGCAGACTCTGTTCCAAATACAGAATTACACATTTGCTTGCACTAAAATTCATAGCATATAACTATTTAAGAGTTCAAATTAACTTCTTTCACAAAATCTGTGTCATTCCTTAACTCAACAAAAATCTTTGTATAATCTCCCAAATTAGTGAAATGTAGTTAACATTGTGTAATAACTACTGGTTCCCCTTCTGATGACTTTCCAATAATGAATTAACAACATTTGCTAAAGGTTTTGCAATCGTGGAAATGTATTATTTTAGATCTATGCAAATATGCAGTATGGGTTTTGATCAAGATATCACACTTGAAGAAAGGTAAACATATTGCTCTTTTTATCTATTTTATCTGTAAATAGGGCCAAAAATGTAATAAGGTCATTTAACAAGATCTACTTTACAAGAAAATGTTTTGAGTGGCATTGATTTTTTTCCTTCTAATTCCCTATTGGCAGAGTTCTTAAAATATTGGATGCACATTTCCTCCTACTGCAATCTAAGAAATTCTGATTCAAAGTTTGATTTTAGCCAGCTTGATTCCACCTTTGGGTTTTTTTTGTAAATCTAAGCACTGTCATTTCTTCAGAGAACCAGCTACTCCCACCCAGAGGAAAGCTACCACCATGGCTAAAATACTGCTGTTTTCTCAGACAATGATGTCACAATTTTCAGATGAGACCAATGGTTTGCCCAGGACCACAGCTGGGGACTTCTGTCACAATATTAGGTTTTCTAAGAGCCTGTAAATCCTCCTGTGTTTCCTCATTAGTGCAATAAATACAGTGAATCAGCTGGCACTTTCTTCCTACTGAATACATTTGTTTTCATGCTATCAGCTGGTTATCTCAGCTTCTCTTTTTGGATGTTCTTTACCTCACCACCTCTCTGAATTCACTACAAAAGCCCCATTAATTTTTCAGCATCATCTTGCCATTTCTACTTCCTCATATAACTATTAACCATCCTAGAAAGAAAAAGGTATATATCAACAAGGTTGTGTACACTGTGATTTCCTTAATCCATTGATTAAGAAAACAACTGATGAGACAAAACTAGATATGGACTGTGTACAATTCAAGTTTCTATAAATTTGCATGAAGTTCCCCCAAGACTCTTTTTCTCCAGATTCCAACTCTCTCAATTGCCCAAGTTGTTTGTGAGGTTTTTTTAAGAAATGCAATCTAAAGTGCTTTATAGGATTAAATAAAACATTTTTTAGAAATTAACAAGATTTCAGGATAAAATTTAAGATACTAGAAAAATTAGACACAACAGAGTGACCAAAGATGGCAAGATCACTCTGAAAAGCAATGCACAACTGTTCATTGATGAGGGACACCATTACCTGAAATCTTACTCTGGCTGACTGAGGAAGGCAAACAAGAAAAGAGATGTGATATGAGTGGCACAATTTGAACACAGATCAGTACTGGAGGAGAAATGGAAGGGAGAAAAGGGAAAGGAACACAAATTCAGGATCTGTCAGATAAACAGACCAAATTAATTTGTCTTTTAGAGCAAGTCTCCTGTACTTGTGTGCCTTTGAGGAAACCAATAAACCAATGGCAAGTGGAAAGCACTAGTTTCAGCTAATATTTAGAACTTGGGTAGTGACAAGAAAGGCAAAGTTGATCAACAGTAGAAATGAAAGAAAGATAATTTGCTGGCTCTACTAAGGAAAACCTTAAAAAAATATATTATCTTGGCAAAAGAATACAATCACCTTTAAGACTATTACCTTTTTTCTGAGATGTAGGGCATTTGGCTGATGAAGTGTCCAAATTAACTCTGGCTGAAGCTAACACTGGAATAGTGAACTTTTTAGGAACCTCAAACAGGTTTTTCATGCTCACTTCTACACTGTACTTCAGCTCTGAGGGGCGCTTACGAGGTTTCAGAAGTGCACGTCTCTGCAAGTGAAGCAATAAAATATACAGCTGAAGATCATATAAAATTTCAGGTTATGAAATGCAAAACTGTACAGGCTTAATTCTGAAACTGAATTGGTAACTAAGAAAGATACATAACAACTTTTGAGTGATTCTTCCAAATAAAAACTGACATGTAAGATATTTTTAGACATCATGCATCTGAGACATTTGTTTAAGAAAAATGCATTTTGAAATTTACAGTAAAACCATAAAACCTACCCAGAAAAAAACTCTGCTAGCCTTTATGCATATGCAGGAAAGGCAAGAAAAGGAAAAAAATCTATTATTTTTTTCTTTTTTCTGTATCAGTGGGAGAAAGATGCTTCTTCTTCTACTTCATAAAGTTGCTGAATAATAAGCATGAAAAGAGAAGTTATTTTGCTTTTTGGCAAGGGATAACTAGTAGATAACTGATATTTTAATGTTAAAAATGTATTTTAGAAATTTGGGCATTTAGAATCAATTCTAGAGACAAGTTAGCTCCTCCTCTTGGTAAAAAGCATTGCTAATCAACAGCATGAAACATATTCGTAAGGGATAAACACAGCATATTAAAGCAAGCTCAGTATAGGCAGCTGAAACTCTTAATGAACTTAATTTGACTTCTGTAAGACAACATTACAAAAATACTGCAACGACTTAACACACTACTTGCTCAAAATTGCCATTTTCAATCCAATAACACACTATAATTTCAATGCTCAATAGTAATTGTAAGCTGAACAAATTTTACACCTAGTAATGTCTTTTTTACAGACAAGGCTTTGTATCAATTACTGTTGTGAATTATCTTGAAGCAAATCTAGGACAGAGATAAACATGGAAATATTCATGTTTTGCTAAGAAAACTGGTTTACTCTCAAAGTCTTTTGCTTTAAAATACTGCCAGGACTGCAGGTATCACAGTATCTATTTCAGTAGGCCAAGGAATGAAAATCCACTGTGGGAATTCAAAAACTCAATTTTAAAGGAAAAGCAATTGTTCTTAAAGATCGCCTTTAGATGTCAGATGTCAAATCACTGTTTAAATCAACTAGGCTTGGGTTCTGCTGTGGGGTGGTGGGGGGTTCTTTTTGGTTTCTTTTTTTCCCCTCTTGTTTAATAAAAATCTCACGTTTCCTTGCTGGTTTTAGAAAGCAGATCCCCACTCTGACATTGCTTTGACCATTAATCTACCTTTGATAGTGTCAATATAGTGTTAAACAAAAAGTACATATGGACTTTGTGAACCTGTTAGGATTTAGCTGTTAATATAGGAGTTTTGGCACAATAAATATAGAAACAGAAAATTATTCCAAATTCTCATTCTATGAAGAGCAACTGGAAAGATATATTTGATTAAAAAATTCAAATCAAACCAAACTGTTAGGATAGTTCTTATATTACTGAATTTGCACAACTTGTGCAAATATAATTTAAAGAAGGAACAGGAAAAATGTGAGTTGAAAATCTGAGCTCACTATTTACTCATTTCTATCATACAAGACTTGGCTCTGACATTCTCTCAAATGCATACAAAATGAATTTAAAAATCAATAGGTACAAATAATTCAATTGCCATATTAATTTCAAGTTCCATTTTTCTCTGATAGGAATGAAATGCCAGAATACTTTACAGTGGGAAAAAAAATTCCTTCTAACTTGTAATGGGACGTTCCTAACCAAAAGAATTACACACATTCACCAGTTTAAATTTGAATTTTATCTTCTGCATAATCAAATATAAATTTATACCTACAAATGATTTTCATAATTAGATTATTTTTCAACACTGAAATAAAAATCCAAAATGATTACACAGTTTTGTTAAATTTTAATTGACAAAATAATTGTAAGATGACCTTTCCTGGAGCACTGAACACATTTGAATCATAATTATCTTGAAGAAATGTCTTAATATTTAAAAACTCACTGAAAGACTTTCTTTTAAGATCCTTGGTCCTGTTATCTCATTTTTAAATGTATTTTAGGAAAAAAACCCAATTGGCTAGTATTACATAGTCTGTGAGCATTTCCTGGCATCTTGTAAACAAATAAAGGTTGAAAACATTTTTAATGAGAGATCTAGTGGAAAAATAAAATTCTCAAACCATACACAAGACTAAACTTTGCTGCCCCACAGCCTAACATTTCCAAGAGAAAACATCAACACAATTCAGATGAATGTTGCAACTGTTCAAATTTTTGACATTTTTGGGGGCAGTGAGATTTAAATAGAATTTAATATTGTTTAACTCTCATGATCAATGCAGATCTAAGGCCTCTCTGTTACAAAAAGACAAATTCCAAGCACTTTTACTTCATCAGCCTGATGGTTCACGATAGTCCAAGTGTGGATGTCCTATTACCAGCTAAGAATAGTATTTGCATTCAGTTCCCTGGATTAATTAGTTTATTTGAATAATTTTTTGAAAAATGAATGGAGGGTATACAAAGCATTATAACTAAACTTGGTATTTTTCAAGGACTTTTTGATTTTCCAAGGTATTTTCTTAGATGTACCATCAGCACTTTCTATGTGTGAAGGGTGACAGATTCTGTTACAGGATTCTCAGGCACCTCTCTCCTTCCTTGCATATTACTGTTCTTCAAATCCTAATTTAGCACCATTTCTTCCTTCTAGAAATTTACTTCTAAAATTGTTTCTCATGAATAAAGAAATATATTATCTCAGTGTCTCAGAAGCCCTGTGATCAATTGTGTTTGCCATATCCCTTAATCCCATATCAAAAGATAAGTGATGTAATATAATAGACATTAGTCTCACTTGTAAATTCACCAAATTGAAATCTGACCACAGGTCCCTTTTCTGAAAAGTTCATTCCTACTCAAATGAATCTAATGCAATTTTTTATTTCCAGGACCTTTTCTGCTCAAGGACAACATGATTCTTCCTCAAAATAAACCCACACCACTTTTTTAAAAAAGCAAATTCTTTACACTGAGTTTACAAATTTCCATAACCATATGGAAGAACACAAAGAAGCCTTCTTGATCTCTGGGTGCCTATGAAGAGCACAAACTCTGCAGATCCAGGCTGGACAGGTGTAGGATGAGACTTTTCCATGTCAGCTGAACAGCAGAAGCCACAGCCCCAAGCACACAAGGTCTCCATTCATTTTTCATTGATCAAAACTAAAACTCATCAACCACTACGGTGTACTAAGATAAAAACACTCCATGTTGCTCAGTCACATGCACAGCAGGATAGAAAGGAAATGCACAATGTCCTAACATCTGGAATAGGGCAAATGGAGTGTCCACATTCAGATGAGACTGTTCAAAAGGAAGCAAAAGAGGGCCTCAGTAAATACTGTTTGTAGCTCAACAATAAGGGCACACCTGGACACAGTGGAAAGTTAAAGCCTTAGCTCTGGCGTTCTTGTAAACAGGACTTTTCCTATCATAATGTCTAGCTTTACAAGGAGATTATTGGCATCTATGTCTATGAAGAAAATGTCCTGTGTCTAGCAACTGGGTCTAAAACTAGGCATGGTATTTTGAATCATATTTCACTGACTGCAGCTTCCTTTCCCTCACAGTCCCAAGTAAATGAATTCTCATATTGTTATTTCCTTTTTCTTCACTTACCTCTATTTACTACAATTAGCAACTTCAGTCTAAATATGTTCTTCTTCTACAGTCTCTTATCTTTTTTCCAATACCCTCGTCCTTCCCTTGTTATCTACGTTCACCTAAATGTCCCCCTTTCAGCTTTCTCTTATTCATCATTACTAATTATTCACAGAATATCATCTGTTAATTATTCACTATAATTCCAGACCCAACCAGGGTCTGACAGTTAAATCCTATATTATCTTTACTACTACCCAAAAATATTTTAGGAGGAATTAAAGAAACACTCAGGAGGTAAGAAAACAACACCATTTTATGGGAAAAATATTAAAAAATCATTATTTGTTACTAATTCTAATCATTTAAACAATCAAAATAGATCTTTGTTCCTTACAGCAACAAAAAGAAACAATAAAAACATAGTGAAAAAGTACCTAGGACTTTTAGACATATATAGATGAGTCAAGTAAAAAATTATACCTCTAGTTACTGATTATGCATAACCAGTTTGACTCCAAAAGCACAGCCCACGTTTATTACTGTTTTCTATGTGACTTAAGTAAACATGAGTAAAATGTACAGTTTAGGGAGACTGGAAAACATGCAATTATTTAGCTATTTATTCTTCAATTTGACAGGTGAAAAACGGACCAAGTAGTACTAATGGAAGGGTATTTTCCCTTCTGTCGATCTATTGTCTAACATGATTCTACCTGCAAGAAGCAAGTAGAAAGGTGGAATAGAAATCCAAAAGAGAATAACAGATTTCCAAAGATTCTGATTTATCTCTAACCCACAACGTGTGCCCCACAGGATTTCATGAGCCTAAATCATTCATTGGACCATGGGCACTGTAGATTGGCTTTTTTTCTTTTTTTGCTTTTTTTTTGTGGGAAAGGGGAAGAATTCAGACAACCTAAAACCATAGTTCAGCTCCAATTTTCACTGCAGAACACCAACCCCCCTCAAAAAAGGTTTTTCCAGTTAATGCCACCAGAATTTCTATGTTGTCACCTTTAAATAGATAGTTGGCAAGAATTTATTATAAAAATTTTTAGCAATATGTTTCATAATTTAGTCTGCATAGTGGATATTGAGATATTTTTAATATGGAAACTCTTTTCTTTGCCAGTAGCAGAATTTCTCCCCCGTATTTGTCATAAGCAAGTATAAGACTTGTACATGGAACAAAATACTTCTTTCTTCTTTCACATTTATTTCATTTCTCACATGATAATTCATTCAGTGCTAGTATCCATCATTATGTGTTTTATAAGGTAATTAAGCTAATTATCCTCTATTCTTCCACGATACATGGAGTTTTAGAACTCATATTGCATTTTAACATGTCTAGTGGTGCAAGGAGTGTTCCTATTATGTTCTGTCTTGATCCCATCCACAACTTCAGAGCAGTTAGACTTTTCATCAAGTATTTGCTAAGTGACTGTGATATTAAAGGACTCGAATTATAAAAACTCAGTAAAATGTTACCACAGCAGTGGATGATCCATAATCCCAAAGGAGATTACTTGAGTCTAGGTGACACAATTACAATTGTCGTCCCACTCCAAACACACAACAGATTAAAGTTATGATGTAAGTTTCACTCATTTTGTTTGTTTTTTATTTCTTTTCAAACAAAAGGCATAAATTTAGCAACATCAAATCACGAGGGAAAACTCTTTTCCTCTTAGCACTGGGAACCATACTTGGGGAACTGTGTAACTGGAAAACTGGAATAACATTGCTGCCCAGCAACTGCTCTGAGGCCAGGTACCATCAGGGCACAAAGGAAATTAAAGCCCAGAGTGTGGCTATCCTATCATAATCAGAAGGCTATACTTGAATTCTTCACGAGGAAAAGCCTTGTTTATTCAGCAATATTACTATTACAAATTTCTTCACAAGTAATAACTGATTATTTACTGGACTACCTTGGGAGAACTTTTGTTTCTAGATGTTGAACTCTTGGGAAAATACAAAATATAGGTTGGAACAATGCATAAGAGGGGAGCTGTATCTTATTAGAAAAACTTGTGGTTTTTCAAAACTATTTTGCATTGATTGCAAGACAAGGAAAAGTCTGTCCTGGTCCTTCATTTATTCTCAAGGTCTATTGGTTAGGGAAAAACAATCCATTTCTTACAAAAATATTCATAATGAAAATTATGAAAGCTTTTTTATAACGTATTTTTCAGAAGTAAAAGTAAAATGTTAATACTCAACTGCAGTCAAGTTTTCTTAAAGGAAGGATATCATAATAGTATGGGGTGACAAAGTAGCTTCAGAATGAACATGTAAAATATTGCAGTGTCTGAGGGGGAATTGGCATTAGCAACTGCCATATTACAGATGTTTGAAAAAACCATAACTTCACACTATTTCCTGAAACATCAAAACAATTCAGTCCTGCAAATCAAGGACAACTAAATTTAATTGCAGCACCAGGTAACTGTTTCTCACCTCTACTCTGGACAGCCCCAGCAATGCCGTTGCAACTCGAACACTGCTGCTCTGCAGAGTGCCAGTCATCAGTCTCCTCTCATACTCAATAGCTGACATCTGCTGCTGTGCAGCGAGAGCCAGGGCCCTCTCTCTTGACTCATTGATCAATGGAATCCTCAGATTTTCCTCCAGAGTCTGACCAAGTCCACATTTCAAATATAAAACTGGCTGTATTGTGCTTGCATCTGTTAAAAAAATCCAAATAAATGAAAGAGCAATACAAAACCACACATCACATTTATCAGCTGGTGGAAATGCAGAGAGTATTTAAAATTTCTAATCTCCAAAGAAAATAAGAATATGACATTCCTTCAAAATTTAGTTTAGTTCCATGCTATTAATCTAGTACATGTCATTTATTACCTATAATACTTTATTTTTCAATGTAATAGGGAAGCAAAAATTAGCAGACTGAAATGCAACCCAAAATTTAGCTAATAGGGCTAATAAATAGCTAACAAATTAGCTAATAAATCCCAGACTTCAGTGTTACTACTATTATATCAGTATTAAAAGTTTACCAAAGTCTTTCTACTACCTACACAACACAGCCACACTTTTATCCCTCTAGATGATGTTACATCCCTTCTAAAAGAAACTACCAGAAATTATTTCAAATAGCAGCTACACTGTTTCTGAAATAGGACTGACTGGAGTTTATCCCTGGCCATTTGAAGACAAAAACAATGGAATATCTGTCAAATCACATCACTGCACACAAAACTTGTGTTTTAAAGCTAGAAAAATTCTAGATAAAGATGACTTGTCCTGCTTCATATGACTAGCAATCTATATTCAGAAAAAGAAAATGAGAAAAATTATGAAAAGTGTTTATGTAGATTACGTTGAAAACAATACAAGACAAAGGTCACCACCAGTTGATGCTCTGAAGAGAATGGACTGGAAAACATTAGAAGAAATATGTGTATATTCATTATAATGTAATTTTTACACTTCACTATAAACAACTTTTTTTTTACCACATGTAATTAATTAATTTTAAGAAAAATCCATAGAAATAAAAGAATATTTACAAAAAAAATATTTCCTCTATTTTACTCTTCTCCCTTCTATTCACTGTACCTTCTGAGGTATTGGTAGCACGCAAAACATTTGGACTATCCAATGCAGGCAATTCTGAAGGCAGAGGTAAATCACCTATTCCTTCAATCTGGTATACAAAGTCTCCAATCTGAAACACAAGGACACACATCCACACACTTCAGACAGCAACTCATGCAGAACAGAAGGCAAAGTATTAGAACTGACAGCAAAAATACTCTGGTAACATCTAAGATTTGACCTGGGCAATAATTTACATATTCAGAACTGTTTTATTAAATTATGCCTAAATATAAGAAAATTATTATTTCAAGCCATGCTGCGATAACCAAGTAACTTTAATTGATAATATTAAATTTGAAAAGTCAAAAAATTTCAAAAAGCAAAATCCTTTCAAACTCCTCATATAATTTAACTGAATAAAGGTACCCTGACCCATAAATACAGCAAAAAATTTGAATTCTAACTATCTACTACAGTTAGATATAATTAAACATGTTCATAAGCAACCTTCATTGCTCTTCATCATTTGGATTTTTTTTTAAAATGCTTAAAATCGTTTTGAGCCAGAAACATTTCTCTAGAAAGCAAAAATAACAGAAGTCAAGGCAGGTTAGAGTGATGTACAAATTCGCCTTTAAAAAAAATAAAGTTAATAAATCTTAATTATTTCATTAAAAAAATTAAAAATCTACAGAAGCTTGAAAGCAAATATAAACATGACCTAGAAGAAAGAAAGACAGTTATTTTTCATAGGGGAAAGGATAACTTAAGTAGCAGAGAAATAACACTTTAAATTATAGAAGAGATGAACAAAATAAGGTGCAAATGAAAGACAGAAGAGTATTTTTGAAGAAAACTCACTGAAAGTACTTCAAATTAAAGTGCACAATCAGAATGGCCCAAACTAAAAAGATATCTAAGTTAGGTACAATACATCTATCTGAATGAGGCAGGAGATTTAACATATATACTGCATATATTGCTTTGATAACTTCTTTGTGTTTACCACAAAATTTTTTCCGACAATTTACCTTCTACTGATTGCAAGATAAAGAATTAAATGCCTCTGCAACAACTGATATAATTTGCACATTCAGTCTCTTTATTTCCATAAACCATATTCTGTAAAACTCTGCCCTAAAAACATGTATTCTGTCTTTTACTCTTCATCCCAGATATGAAAGAAATAATTTATTTATATAATTTAGTGCATCTGCCAACCAACACAGTGTTTTCCTTTTAATACTGCTCAATAGCATAAGAAAACCCTGGTTTTTCCTTTGCCTTCATTTGCAGTTTCATCAGATATTTATGCTAAGGCTGAAAACACTGCAATTATATTTCTGACACAGCAGAAGGAAAGCTATTCAGCTTTGATGGTATTTTCTCCCTTGCTTTGATTCAGGAGCTCACACAAATCTTCCTTGAGAAGAATTAAAGAAACCTCCAGCAAAATTGGATTCTCACACACAAATAGCCACTCCTGGGAACCAATTTAAACAGGAATTATTCCTGTTTGACACAGTGATTTGGCTCCTTAAGGGCCCTCAACAAGCATACAGCACACACAGCTAATTTTATGAAGGTGCTGGTTGCTGGGATGCCATTCTGCCATCAGCTACTTTTCCTGTCCTTGCTGACAATAATATGCTCATAGGAAAGAACAAACTTCCCCAATTTCCTCTTTGCTTTGAAGAAATCTGGGGGTTTGATCTGCACAGAATGCAAATCCTGTTTTCTTTCCACTGAGATATTTCCTGATGCTTTGGAACAGAATGGGTATTTCACTGAACTTTGAGAGTTTAGCTTGTATGCCTATGCTTTTAATGCTTTATATTTCCATTTTCCATCAGTTGCAAACAGCACAGCATCAACATTGTGTGGGGCTTACTGTTAATGAAAATAGTTAATAAAAGAGCTGTTGAACTATCTATCCAATCCCATTGTTCTCTGATGTTTCAAAAGAATGTAGGGCTACTACACTCTTTTGTAGAATGATGTAGATGTCATTTGATCACCATACAGCACAGTGGCTGCACTTATTTGTCAATTAGCTAATGGTATGACTGAAATATTGCAGCCATATACAAAACATTTAAGAAAGCCAAATTCTTCCTGTGCCAGTACTGTACTGCCCTAAAATCATATTAGCTATCTTGTAGTTTCATCTTTCCCAAGAGATTTAATATAATTCCTCAAAAACTATGCAATTAAGTAGATGGACCTAATTTTCCTAATCTGAGGTTCTGCCTATCAACAATTTCACACTTTGAGGAGCCTTTAAATGCATCACATCTACTCAGCTAACCTGGAAGGACCAGGTGTTCCAGAAAAAGTTACAATACAGGACTTAACAGCAGCTTCTCTGAGGCATTAATGCTTCCTACTGTGAAAAGGTCAACTAAACCTTTGATAAGAACAGTGACTAGAAGCTAGGTGTCTAAATTTATTTCTGCATCACCACTGGAGGCAACACTGGGGCTGTCAGAAATGTACTTTTCCCTTTCCACCTGAACTATGACTGTCCTCCAGCTCTGACCACATCTCTTCAATTAACACTCTTCCCTTACACATGTCTAAATTTCCCTTCTCTTCACTATAAGTTTTAACTTTCAGGCTCTATTCCTTGTGTAGGTAGAAGAGACTTCTCAGCCAGGGTGTGTACTTCTGCTTCCAAAAAAGATACAACAAACAGGTAAATTGCCAATAGCAGAGATCTAAAGGGTACAAATCATAACAAGTAAAAGGAGATTCTTCTCAGATTTACTCTCAGATAGCAGTAGGCCAGGTTCTTCCTTGTCTAGAGACTGCATCTAGATATTTCATTGAATTAAACTGATGGACCTAAAATTCCTTTTTTAATGCACTGCTGTTGATGTATATTTCTTCCCTAATAATTTCTCTCTTTGCATGATGCTGAGCTCTGGATTGATCTTCCACTGAACCATCCACAAAGATTTCTGACCTCTGACCCAGAGACCCCCTCTTTGTGGATGATTCCCTGCTGTCAATATGGTGTGAGCTCAATATTTCAATGTCTATTCAACAGAAAATCCCTCTTATATCTCTGCTAATTTTACACTCTTTAAGACATCCAGTCATATGGTTTGTTTTCTTTTAAAAATAGCCAGTATATTCAAATACTGGACAGAGTCAGAAAGACAGACTTGGGCATCATTGTATTAGTCTTATTTTCCTTTATGAACAACATAAAAAAAACTTAAGTGGGCCAAGTGGCATAGCCAAAGTTATGTTTAAGCAATAAAAACCCCATCAAACACACAAACACCACACACTAGCAGACATTCCATGTTCTATAGAAAGGAAAAATATGGAAGCTGAGAATGTGAAGAAGAATGTGAAGGAGAAATAGTCATTTAGTTTTAGAAGTATTGTTACTAATCATCAAAAAGTGGCAGAGAGAAAGGCAGAGGCATGTAACTGCACAGAGGGGAAGCCGAAATACAGAGGCAGTGTTATGAAAGTGAGAAGGAGAATGCAAGCCTTGAGATAAGCCACACAAAAAAGATTATAGAAACAACAGGGTTTTGAAAAACATTGACAGGCAGAGACAAAACACAGCAGACAGGTTAAAGAGGTGAAAAGATGGACTAAAGACACAGAAATAAGATTGTGACCACTGAGATAAAGGATACCAGGAATAAAAAAAGCTGGTTTCAAGTTCTGAAATTTGATCAAAATCAGATCTTGGGAATTTTATTGAATTTCAATTGAGTATATATAGCAAAACCCAGGCTACATGAGTCAAGAGAGACAGAAAGGTTGTACAGTCAGTATTCATGTACAGTCTTTTCTGAATGGAACTCTGATTGAGAGAAAAATTTAAAAAGAGACAGCAAGGAAAATTATTATTCTACTTTGATAGCATACCCTAAATACAGTGACGAATACATGGAGAAATACAGAACAGTAAAGTCTTTATCCATTCTCTGCCTATGCATTATTCTTGCACCCACATCAAGACAAATTATTTAAATTTCTTTTCTCTTCTGAAGCTCAGATGCCTAGAAAAGCCACCAAAATAACATTTCTTGCAGCATTACTTTTCATTACTTAGTTTTAAAGGGAAAAGTTGCCTGCAGCATTTCATATAGTTCTAATTATATGTAAAAGGACAGTAAACAGTTGTCCTTGATCAGAACCCCCAAGTCTCTTTTCACAGCACTGCTCTCATTCACTCTATTCACACATAATTGGCCAAAGTTCTGATTCTTACCTGACATGACAAACACAGAACACACACTTTATTGTTACCTTTTCATTAACCAGAATGACAGTGCAGTAACGCTTTTCCTGATGAAAGGGAAGGAAGTGAATATCTAAGGCTGCAGAACTTTTGCCTTTCAAGAACAGTGTTTCCATTGGACTGAAGAACTCATGCAGGAGTCCAGACTGATCAGCTGTTAAAATAAATTTAAGTGGATGTTTAGATACAACAGCACAGGTTGTAAAGTAAAGTAGTTGCATGAATTTAAAGAAAAGGATACTGTATACAGCCCCTGCAACAATCCGTGTTTGAGGCACACCTGTAATCAGTATTTACAGTCACAGTTGTGTAGATGTTATGCAATATTGCATGCTGCATTATTTAAATACATTTTTATAATTACCTGTGTTCTTATTCTGTGCACTGAAATAAAACTAGGGAAAACTGACTGTTCTCACCATTAAAAATTCCTTAGGGAGGTATAGCCTCAAAGAAAAGGTCTACTCATATCAGAAGGAAAAGTATAATTTACTGCTATTTAAACAAGAATCTCACTCTCAGAGCAGCAACTATGTCTGAAATCCTCTAGAACAGGCAAAACCTAAATACTAGCAACGCAGGCTTTTTTTGTACTGTTTTCACAAAAGCACAACACAGAGAAAGAATCTTAGGGTTGAATTTGGCAGAGTCTGACTTTCTCACTACATGTTTTTCATCTTCTAAGCACACTGACACTGCAGAACCAGACCTTCAAGCCTTGCCGGCTGGCTTTCTAGGCAGGACAGCAGACTTAAGAATATATGTGAAAGTGAAAACAACAGAAATTAGTGAGACCATATAAGAAAATTATGCCAAACTCTGGCCAAATAGATAGAACAGGGATGGGACACCCACAACTTCTCTGAGTAACCTGTTCCAGTGCCTCACCACCCTCACAGTAAGAATTTCTCCCTCATATCTAATCTAAACCTGCCTTCCTTCAGTTTAAAGACATCACCTCTTGTTCTATCATACCCTCGTAAAAAGTCCCTCTCCAGCTCTCTTGTAACTCCTCCAGGTACTGGAAAGCCACAATAAAATCACCCTGGAACCGTCTCTTCTCCAGGCTGAATTTTTGACTGTGATGCACAATTTAGGGCCAACATTTTATGAAAACTATAAATAATAGTTACTGAGCATATCCATAAATAATATTTATTGAACACGCATAGATGTCAAAACCTTGCTTCTGTAGATAATCTAATTTCTACTGTAGCAAGACGAGGTATTGCACAGGTACTTACAGCAAGTCTCTTTCTTTGAATCTTCAAGCAGTGAACCATTTTTTGAATTTAATATGTAATTTTCAGTACTAAAAAGAAAAAGAAAATTAAAGCAATATTCTAAAGCTGGACATTACAATTACCAATAGATAGTTTAGTTCTCCTTTTTATTAATAAATACTGGAAAAGCAAATGTTTTCAACACAAAAAAAAAAAAACCCACCAAAATAGACCACTACATTTTGAAACCATTTTCCAACTAATAATGTTAAAAAAATCAGCTTATCCATTTGAGGTGGCAACAGGAATGACCTATGTTAACTAACAATGCAGTTAATCAGTCAGAAGAAACTTGATGTAATCAAGGCTTTGTCTAAGAAAGGAGAAAGGGATGAATCTTAACCTAATCACCTGAACTCTGTTCATTACAATATTGTTTTTCAAGTATATTTGAAAAGAACAGATATACTTGAAAAAAACAGCTTCAAACAAAATCTCCTTTGAATTCCCATCCCCTCAAGGCAAACTGTGTTCCTCACCATTATATTTTCTTAATGTAACTTTATGTATTTTTCTTCTTCACAAGTAATTCCTACCATTGTTGACAGGTGTGTCCTGGGGTACAATGCAAAAATGTGTATTCTATCAACATCTGTTAAAATGTGGGAGGGGTGGTGATCCTTGGGAGATATCCTCTGCTGATGTGCCATCTGATAAAATCAGGGGGATGATCATCGTTATCTTTTCACAACCCATCCTTCCTCCAGAAGATATATTCTGTTAATGGGCCATTAAGTCCTATTGTGTGACTGATAAGATTACATCACCCCATTGGGAGATGCCCCAGCCAGGGGCAGGAGCCAAGCCTTTCCTACCTAGATAAAA